CCCAAGCCACGCCCAAGCCGCAGGGTCGAGTCCCATCCCTCGATCCGGGGATCCACGCAGAGTTGTGGAGGTGAGCTATGGCGCCCCAATTGCCATGCCGCATAAGCCTTGCATTCAAATGATCCCCTTCCAACTAAGGCCCAATTTGGGGCAAAGGGTGACTCTGTCTTGATTGCTCAGTTGGGTCTTAGTTTGCTCAGCAGCAAAGGTTGGAAGAGGATAATTTGAAAGTTGGAAGACCCAATTTGAGAAAGTTTGAGTTTTCTCAGCAGCAAAGTTTGTGACTGTGTTTTGATTGGGGCACTGCATTGATCTGCTTTACCCAACAATATGACTACCAGAAACTGAGAAGTGGCCAAGCAAAACCAATACCCATCGACCATCGACCAGCAAAACCGATCAGCGCGCGGGGTTATGATACCCTGGCAATATAGTCCGTGCTTGTGTGAGAACACTGTCTTTTTTGAGGGTGCCAACAGGAGTTTCAAAGGACCCCATTCATTGTGTTTTTCTGTTTTTTTTGGGGGGGCTCTTTTATGTTGAGACAAACACATGTGCACGGATTCAGGTGGAACCTCTGTGCAACTCTGCATAGCTTTTGCTCCGAACACCGGAATCTGCGCCAAGTCCGAGCTGTGACCGTGGGGGTTTGCGAGCATTCAATCCCCAGACAACTTAATAATTCAAACAGGGAATTGGGGAGAGGGGGACACCCCCCCCCTGGGACTGAATTTATAATTCCTTTGTTGGATTTTTACTTTGGGTTGTAGAAAGGACATCCTCATGACTGACTGATACATGGTGTGTTTCTCGCGCTTTTCCTTGATCCTTCCAGAGGAAGTCATGTAAATGGCTGGCCATCACAGCAAGGCCCGCGCGTTGCAGCTCTGGCCGTTTTGCCCAGAGGAGCGCTGTGGTCCGAGATGGCAAGCGCCGACACAGCGCTGTGGAGCTGAAAGTCAGAGAAAAATAGGTGTCCTTTTTTTAGTCAGCTTAGTTAGAAATAGATGGCGCTGGTCTAGATTTGTTTTTTCCACTTGCCAGCGCCGTGATTCTGTTCCAAAAGGTCACCTATGGTTAAGAAGTGAGATGTTGAGCGGGCGCTACATGCTCAGAGCGACACGAGTTCGTGTTTGTTTCTTCTTTTCTTTTTCTCCTCCGTTCCGTTTCAAGGTCCTTCCGAGTCCTTCCTTTTTTCCTTCTTTTTTTTTTCTTTCTGTTTTTTCTTCTTCGGCCGTTGAGCACGGTGAGACGCGCAGCGTATCGAAGTGGATGCCCAATGGTTGGCGCGTTAAAAGCTCTTTGAGCAATGATCTCAGGTGTTGTGGTGTTGATTGGTTGTGTTGATTGGTGAACCAGGGTTTGAACCCCTGGTTCTTGGTCAAAGAAAAAGAGGCTAAGACACCTCCGTCCAAAACAGTAAAAAATGGCACGCCGCGCACAGCTAGCATGCCGTGTCCAAGCAAAAACGCGGATTCCCTCGAGGGTTTGTGAACCTGGGAGCCTAGCTGGACGGTGACAGGATGTTCCTGCCACCCCGTCGAACGGGAGAACTTTTCTACCTAACTCGTGATGAATGTGGGAACCTCCGCATCAGATGGCAAGGGCCGACATAAGCCCAGAGCTCGGCTCGACCAAAGGCTCGACCACCAGCTCCCAGCACTTCTGACGGCAAAACTCACGCGCTCGCCCAAAAAAAGAAAATGCCCAGGGAGGGGACAGGATGTCGACATCCCTTGAAGTGGAGCACTGGACTCACCAACCTTGGAGCAGATGAGGAAAAGATAGGAAAAGGATGTTGCCATTGCCTCGTGGCAAGTTCGCCAATGGGATTTGTTTCAAGCAGGTGGAAGGTCTCTTTGCGGACTGTGAGGGGAGCTGCACGCTGGTTGCTGGAAGCATGCTCCTTTCTGGGTTCAAACGGATGAACGATAAATCAACATGCATTTGGAGGGGGGGCTCTATCTATGGCTTACGTTTTTGCCTTCTCTTTTTATCGCTGTCAAGCCCTGGGCGAGATGGGTTCACGTTTTGGGGAACCGCACGGGTAGGTTCGTTTCCCCCAAAAGAGTACCGAGCCTCAGCAAAATACACCAGACCTGTGCAAATCAAACAGTGACATAATGGAGGTTCCTTTGGCCGCATGTCCCATCTCAGGATGATTTGCAGGGTCTGACAAGCATTGGCGAGATTTCGGGAGCACCTTGAATGGCTACAAGAAAAACAGATGCGACAAGTGCGTTACTACACTTTGAAGGACCATGCTCCTTCCATCTAATCAGCCTGTCATGAGAGCTCTCCAAGTTGGCTTCTTTGGGATCAACAGGCTCGTCCAAGTGGCCGATCTCGTGGTCCCCACCTTTCCCCATTTGAAAGCTGTTTGCCGCATCGCTCCGCTTGCTTTGAGTCTGTCAAAGGCACATGCACATGAGCCTCAGCAGAGCCCACCAGCACCATGACAACCAGCCAGCCGGACCATATCTTCAAGCTAGCAGCGGGA